CTCTTGTAACACCTCTAATCTTCTGGCGCTCATATGACCTTATGCAGTTGTGAGTGACGTAAAACATCTACTAAAAAGCTTAATTTTAACATTGTACGTTATTATCCTGTTTGTTTTTTAATACCCATCGTTGTCAAGACATTTTCAGTTAGTGAAGGTAGATAAACATAAATTTTACTGGTTGCTAAACTGCTTAAAGTTTGACCTTGATGAATGTTTCAAAATCATGACCAAGGGAATATATCATCATCACCCTTCTCTTTCTCAACATTCCCATTTCGAAGAACATCATATTCATCTTCCAAATCATGGTCCATCTGCTTCCTTCCACTCATCCACATTATCATAATTTTTATCGTCATTCTCTCCACTCCCCCCTCCCCCCCCCCATCCCCTCTAAATCCTCCTCATCATCTGCTACTTTGTTTTTCTCTTCTAAGTGTTGGTTTAGATCTTCACATTCTGTATATGTACATCATTAATATGCCCAAGATCGATAAACAAAAGGGGAATACACACAGAGAGAGAGAGAGAGAGAGAGAGAGAGAGAGAGAGAGAGAGAGAGAGAGAGAGAGAGAGAGAGAGAGAGAGAGAGAGAGAGAGAGAGACAGAGACAGAGACAGAGAGACAGAGACGGAGACAGAGACAGAGACAGACAGACAGTCAGAAATGCTTATAGATATCGGACAAAGACCAAGACAAATAGGAACAATAATAGTGATGCTGAAAAAGCCCTAAACATTCCTTATTCACAGTATATCTCTCAAAAAAGTAAAATTGATTTCAACCGTCGTTTAGCGAATCAACGTGAGGCTTGTTTGCCACCTTGACCAGAAGCAACCAACGCATGAGCTGGAATAATGAGATACTGGTTCCTAAGTAAAAAAAAGCGATTCCTCATTAATGACAGACCGACTCGAAAAAACGTGACCGACAATAATAGTTGTCCGTACTATTTGTACTGTTGGTTCATCAACTGTACACAGTATTGATTCAATCGATGAGGTTGTCTGTGACCCGAGACAAGGAAAGTGACGACTACTTCTCCACATTGAGAACAATGCTCCATTAATCTCCCTAGCGTTTTCTTTTTACTTTCCTCAAGTAAACGTGACTTCAACAGCGAGGAAAAGCGTCTCATATCCTTATATATCTCCTGCTTTCACTTTCATTCAAAGGAGAGGAAGACAATATGAACATAACGACATCGCTGTTATTAAGAGGCAAAGGTGCGGGGGAGGGGGGTGAAATAGAGGAAGGGGGGGGGGGGGGGGGGGTACGGGAATTGTTTGGAAGCTGGAAGCTAATAAAAAAACATGCTGCACTTATTGATTTTTCCTCGTCTTTCAAATAGAAATTCTACTGAATATCACAGTAGGCACAATTTTCTTTTTTGTCTGCCAGCAACGACAACATTCTTTCTAAACCCCACCCCTGCTCCACCCGACTCCACCCCCACCCTCCCACCCCCACCGCTCCACCCCCAAACCACCCATTTTTTTTTCCAAGCAGAAAACACATTACGTGATATTTCCGCACAGCTTCAGAGAAGTACAAGGGAAACAACCGCTAAATACAATTGCTGCCTTTTGTAAGGAATGAGAAGGGGACATAACCTGACACCAGTCGCGGTGTCATTTGGCAATTTTCCCACACGCTTCTGAAAATAGGTCTAAAGCTATGAATTTTTCAAGCCATTCTGTTTTTATGTGTAGTTTGTCGTAGGGGATCGATTTCCTGTTATCATTCCCCGGACAAAAAGAATATTTCTGTCGTTCCTGATCGGCCCGGGTCTACGTGCCACAACTCCATGTATGTAAAGTTCTTTCTCGTCTTTTGTTTGCGTTTGCGTTTGCTAAAAGTTTGTTTTTTGTTTGTTTATGTAAGTGTTTTACGGCGCTCGCAACTGCATAAGGTCATATGAGCGCGCGGGACACACTAAACTTTTTCAGTTGGTAGGAAATTTTGAATTTTTGCCCGGGTGGCGGCCAAAGCCTACTCTTATCGATTTTAGACCACCAAGGGATCTTTAACGTGCACAACTTGCACACGGGACCTCCGAGAGTTTTCGCCCTTGTCCGAGAAGGCTAGGTGTAGATCTTTCCTACCAGAAGATCAGGGGTGTGGCTGAAAGACAGCAGTAAGAAGAAGCCAATGAGTAGCAGCAGAAAGGCTGCAGAAAGAATCAGGAGCCCAGAGGAGGGGGCAAAGGAGGTGAAGGGGTGGGGGGCAGAAAGAGGAGACGAAAGCACACGACAGAACATTGCTAGAGAGTAGGAAAGGAGGTGAAAGGAGACAAATTTAGAGAAGAACATTTTTGGTCGCTACCCGGATTCGAACCCGGGACCTTTGAATGAGAGACGAACACCTTAACCTCTAGGCCACGAGATCCCCCCGCTAAAAGTTTAATTCCTTTCTTGAGCTCACTTGAATCTAAGATATTTTTTTTTAGAAACTCATGCGCTCGAGTTTGGGGATTTGAGAAACTTTACAAAAGTTCTCAAAAATCTCACATCTATAATACACAATTTGTAAGTCCACCTGGAACAAGGAGTAAAATAATATGATCGCAAAAGAGGCTGGTAGACTAAAAACAAATTACCTGGAGAACGAACAGAACGTTGACGGGCCCAGAAATGAATGGCGAGCGATGAAAGTTGATTTTTGTTTCAAAGCATTGGCCACTTGAAGAAGAAGAAGAAGAAGAAGAAGAAGAAGAAGAAGAAGAAGAAGAAGAAGAAGAAGAAGAAGAAGAAGAAGAAGAAGAAGAAGAAGAAGGAGGGAGAGGAAAAGAGAAAAAGGAGAAGAAG